TAAAGTGAAATGAAACAAAACATTTCCCTTCAGTGATCAGTGAAAATCCCAAGGGAAAATAGGTTATCTGTGTTTGGGTTTTGGAAGCTCCTTTATTTATTCTCCTCCCGAATTTTTCACCCTGCGAGGCAGATGCAGCAGTGAGGAATGTGGGGCCCTCCAGATGTTGTTGGGCTACAGCTCCCATCTGCCCTAGCCAGCACAACCGGTCGTGGGGGATGATGGGAGTTGTAGTCCCCCAGCATCTGGAGGGCCCTTTGTTCCTCATTTGCAGCCCTGATAAGTGTAGCAAATTTGCAATTGAGGAGTTGCATAATCCCAGAGGAATGTGAATGTGTGCAACCCAAAGCATGCTTCCTCTTTTTTTGCCTTTTCCCCCCTTCTGCAGATTATTAGAGACTATGGGGGGTTGCAGACTTCCAGAAATAGTGCAAATTGAGTCCACTTTTAGGGTTAGGGTTAGTGCTAGGGAATTATGGGAATTGGTTTTTTTCTGAGACATTGAGCCTTCTCTGTCAGAGAGCTCTGGTGCCACAATAAAATACAGTTCCCATGATTCCTTAGCCCTAACCCTAACCCTAAAAGTGGACTCAATTTGCACTATTTTTGACAGTCTGCAACCCCCCTTTGAAATGCAACAAGTCATTTCAGATGTTGGTTTCATGAAGAAAGCATTGTTCGGGAGCACTGGGTCTCTCCAGTACAAAGAACTGGTTATAAAGAGAAAGAGGCAGAGGCATGGTCATGAATGGCCTCTTCTTGTGGATCCTATTAAGGTCTTATCTCTGGTCTGATCTGCACTGCAGAAATAATGCAGTTTGACATCACTTCAACTGCCATGGCTCCATGCTATGGAATTCAGGGATTTGTAGTTTGTTGGACACCAGAGAGAAGGCTAAATATATCTCACAAAACTGCAAATCCCAGAATTCCATAACATGGAGCCATGGCAGTTAAAGCGGTGTCAAACTGGATTATTTTTGCAGTGTGGATCAGACTTCAGATCGCAATGGTCTGAATGTAACTTTATAACTTGAGGCTTTTTTAATGTCACTCTGTATTGCATCTAAAGAAGTGGATTCATATCCATGAAAGCTCCTGCTAACACGACTGGAGAGCAGAGTTCGATTCTCCCACTCAGCTATGAAACTCACTGGGTGACCTTGGGCAAGTCACACACTCTCAGCCTCAGGGGAAGCCTGGCTTCATTTTTATGAAGTTTATTTTGCAAATTCTTTAGCAAAGGGTGTTTCATTGCTATTGGTCCAACATTGTCCCCTATTGGTGCATTATGTTAATGCTTCTTGTTTAATCCTTGTTAATTTTTTAACAGTTTGTGTCTGCTGCCTCTCGTCCTTTTTTCATTGTGTGTAGTTTTCATTTCTGTATGCTTTTTCTGTGTAGGTTAAGCAAGGGCCATAAGAAAAATTGTTGTTAATACAGTTCCATATTCTTTCTTGGTGAAAAAAAAATAGATATGGAATATGGGAGGATGTTAAAAATATCCTTAAGGCCAAAATCTTATTGCTAAATTGTCAGTCCTTTTAAGAGAATCTGAACATTTATAAATGCATGTCTATTTTCAGAGTATTTTTTTGTGTTGAAAAAATTAAACTTGGCCTTAGCTGTCTGCAAACTCCATAAGAGTTACACCTTTCTTTAATAGAAAATATATCCCTAATGTTACTGGTTGTACGTGCCTTCAGATCATTTCCTGCTTATAGTAACCCTAAGGTGAACATATCACAGGGTTTTCTGAGGGCTGAGAGTGTGTGACTTTCCCAAGGTCACCAGGTGGGTTTCCGTGGATAAGCCAGGATTTGAACCCTGGTCTCCAGAATCATAATCCAACACAAACCACTACACTATGCTGGCTCTCATGGGGTCTCCATAAGTCAACAGGCCACTTGAAGGCACACATGGAGTGGCCAACCAGTTGTACACACACCAGTTTTACACACATGCATACACATACAACTTTAGATTTGCCTTCTCCAACATGGTTCAAGGCTTTCCATGCTGGCTGGGGATAATAGGAGTTGCAATCCAAGGCATTTGGAAGGCTTCTGGCTTGGAAAATCTGCTTTTCCACAAAGAGTAGATCAATAGCTTTGCACTGGCAGTGGGTTGGATTAGATGACCCTTGGGGTTCCCTTCCAGTTTCCACAACCATATTGCTTCTATGCCCATATCCCTCTGTATCTGAGCAAGACTGGAGCATCATATAATAATAATAATAATAATAATAATAATAATAATAATAAATAATAAATAAACCAATCCGGGTGGTTCACAACATTAAAATAATACAGCCTAAAACCAGCATATTTCCCACCCCCCCTTAAAAAACATTTACAGCACAATCTGCCTCTCCCAGTACACTGCTGCAAGCATTTTGCACCCCCCAGTTGCACCAGTCATTCCCAGTTTGCCCTGGGATTGCAGAGTTCCCAGTTTCTCTTTTGTGGGTCTCAGACTGGAGTTAGGCAGTTGCCAGGCTCTTTGCCAGCAGAATCTCTTTCTCTTTCTTAAGTGTTTTATATATTTATCCATGTGCCAAAGTTCCCTTTTGGATACGCTTTAGCTGTTCCTCCAGCTGAGCATTTAATTTCCTTTGCCAGGAACTGAGTTGCTCATAAGACAAGGTGGTTGCGCTACGTCTCTCTCAGCCTCCCTACCTGTCCGCACTGACATGATCCATCTGCTAGGTCTAAAAGCAGTTGCAGCTGCCAGGAACTGAGAAAGGGAAATGTTTAATGCCAGGAACAGCTGGGCAGACTGTAGATGATGAAGCTAATGGGCAAAGGGATCTTGCAGCACCTTTGAGACTAACCAAAAGAAAGAGGTTGGGAACGTGAGCTGTCCTAGACTTGAACCCACTTCCTCAGATGCATCTTATAAATAGGCTCAAGTCTAGGAAAGCTCATGCTCCCAACTTCTTTCTTTCTTAGTCTCAAAGGTGCTGCAAGACCCCTTTGCAGACTAATTTTCCAGACTAACGCCACTATGTCTTTGGATCCTACACAGAGAACTGCTGGAGTTAGTAAGGAGAGTGTTCACGGACTCCCTCCAGAGCTTTGCAATCCCCAAATTATTATTTTTTTGGTTGGAAGCAGTCTCCAAACATATTTAAATATGGATGTATAATTTTGTTGAGAGCCAGCGTGGCATAGTGGGTTGAGCATTGGACTACGACTCTCGAGACCAGAGTTCGAGTCACTGCTCAGCCATGGAAACCCACTGGGTGATGCTGGGCAAGTCACACTCTCTCAGCCTCAGGAAGGCAAAGGCAAACCCCTTCAGAACACATCTTGCCAAGAAAACACTGTGATAGGGTCACCTTAGGGTTGCCATATGTCAGAACAACTTGAAGGTATTAAAACTTCCTTTGTAGGACCGTAGGATGTTACTAAGGGCCAGCATGGTATAGTTTGAGTGTTGGACTATGACTCTGGAGACCAGGGTTCGGATCCCTGCTTGGCCATGGAAACCCACTGGGTCACCTTGGGCAAGTCACACTCTCTCAGCCTCAGAGGAAGGCAAAGGGAAAACTTTGCCAAGAAAACCCTGTGATAGGTTTGCCTTAGGGTCGCCATATATTGGAGTGATGTGAAGGCGCATGGTGACAGCAGTGATGTTGCTGGGAAGGGATGCATCCCAAAAAGAGCCAGCATGTTGCAGTGGTATGAACTCTGGAGACCGGGTTTTGAATCGCCATTCAGCCATGGAAACTGATTGGGTGACCTTGGGCAAGTCACACTCTCTCAACCTGAGAGGAAGGCAAGGTCAAGCCTCCTCTGGACAAATCTTTCTGAGAAAAGCCCATGATAGGTTTACCGATATCACAGCAATGCCTACTTTGCAGGGTTGTTATGAGGCTCAGATGCCACTCTGACGGTGCAATAGAAATGATTAGATCAGGGGTAGGCAACCTTTCCCCTTTAAGGGCCGAGGGACTTCAGCTCCCAGAAGCCTCAGCCATGTTGGCCAATAGTCCCATGTTGGCCAATAGCTCCTGGGATTCTGGGAGCTGAAGTCCCTCGGCCCTTAAAGGGGAAAGGTTGCCTATGCCTACCCCTGGATTTGACCATGCATCATCTTAATAAATACAATTATTTCAGTTTTATTCTTATAGTGTTGCAATGATTATAATTTCATCAGATCATCATCCTGATCATCATCCTGGGACCTTTCCAGTTTTCCTCATTTTCAGCAAGGGGACAGGTGTAACACATGAGATTGATTGCAGTAGCCACCGTTGCCACTGAGTGTATTTGCAGGCGGTGGTTTTTGCAAGGCACCTGCTTGCATGAAATTCCCCCAGGTTTTTAAATTCTCAACAATGCGACGGAGGAAGGAGGGGGAGCTGGTTTTGCACAGCAGTTGTTCTGCCATATGCTTCGGATATTTGTAACTCTGTAGGATGGGATGGTTAGCTTGTTGACTTAATGATGTATCAGAAGCAGGCTTTTCATCTGCCTCTTTTCCAACAAATGTTCCAAGGCGTCCTCTTCATTTCTTCCCCCTCAAATGTTGCCGGCAGCTGCCTGGTGATAAGCAGGTGTCAAAAGCAACAACACATGCCTCACGCTAGCATATGCCGACTTGCATTCCCTCTACGCAATCTTGGGAAATGGCATTTGTCAATGATTGATTTTTGGAAGGCACCTGTCTCTAAATTAGTAACTCAGAATGCCACAGGGCTCTAGACACCCAGGCGGATGGATAGAAAGGAGGTGCCATATTCATTTAATCCATCAAGAGCACTTGCTTTGCATACGCAGAAAGTCTCCACATCGCCAAATACGCTTTCCTGAAACACTTCTTCAGGGCCACAGAAGATCGACTGATCCCTTTAGATCTGATGGGGATCCCAATGTGATCCATTGAGACCAACAGAAAGGAGGTGCCATATTCATTTAATCCATCAAGAGCACTTGCTTTGCATATGCAGAAAGTCTCCACATCGCCAAATACATTTTCCTGAAACACTTCTTCAGGGCCACAGATGATCGACTGATCCCTTTAGATCTGATGGGGATCCCAATGTGATCCATTGAGCCCAACAAGGCTGCTTCAGACGACTTCCCAGTATCCTATATATATATATATATATAGCAAAAGTTGCTTCCTCTTTGAAGCCCAATGGAGCATTTACATGCAGTGGGAAGCACCTTGGAAAACACCTTAAAACTTTGCAATAAAATCTGGAAATGGATTCATGGTTCCATTTTTTAAAAAGGCTAAATATCTTGTACATTATTTCTGGGATCCTAGTGGACAAAAATGGTTGTTGTGTTGCTTTACCTTCAAGTGGCTTCCAACTTAGGGCGAACCTAAGACAAACCTATTTCATAGCCTAGGTTTTCATAGCAAGTTTCTACTCACGTAATTTATATCCTTATTTCCCTTTCTCTTCCCCTAAAACTGGGACCTGAGACAGTGTAGAAAATCCAAACAGGTACAGATGAAAACACATGTAGATTTAAAAAAAATCCAGCAACCCATGATTAGGATTTGTAGTTTCATGCAGTATGGAGAATTCTCTGCCAGACAGCTCCAAACTAGAAATCCCCCATAGCATGCATCCATAGCAGTTAAAGTGGGGTCAAGCTGCTATAATTGTGTGGTTAAGAGTGAAACCTAAGGTAGGTTTTTAAATAGGTACATTTATGATGCATATTGATCCAGTCACTCTGAGCAAAAGCCTAATCGGAGAGAGCAAAGAGTGCATTTAAGTGCCTTTTGCACCAGGATTGTTTTTATTAAGTGGGAATTGCATCTCTGTCGGTTTGGCATCAGCTCTTGGTTCCTCAACCTTTATATTTCTGGAGACTGAGATGCAACTCTTGAAGGCACAGGGGCAATTGCGCTTGCATTTCTTGCTGCTGTGCAGATGTCTCCTGCAAATATATGGAAAATATGCACCTGTCCACTTTGGTTAATTGGTGGCAGCCAGCTTGGATACGTTGCTTTAGATGTGGATGCAGATCCCTGTGTGATATTGAACACTGCAAAATGGGATCCCAGACTGAACCCGTACACCCCAAAATCCACAAAACAGTGATACTTTTATTGGGCCGACAAATATTGGGCCTCTCCGGAGACATCCTGTATCTCAAAGGAAACATCTTTTTGTGTTGCTAATGCAATTTAAAATTTAAATGCAATTTGACACTGCTTTAACCGCCATGACCCAGTGCTACAGAATTATAGAATTTGTAGTTTCATGAGATACTTGGTCTTTTCTGGGAGAGAGCTTTGGTGCCACAACAAGCTATAAATCCCAGGATTCCATAGGATGGAGCCATGACAGTTAAAAAGTGGTGTCAAACTGTATTAATTCTGCAGTGTAGATGTAACTTGGATCTTTTCTCCAAACACAACCTACATTAGTAATTTGTATAGATGTTTGGATAGGAAAGGGAAAAGTAGCCAATGACTTTTCACTTTGCAAAAGTTCCTTTTGCTTGGTTTTGCTCAAATGAACCAGTGGTTCCCAAACTTTGGTCCTCCAGGTGTTTTGGACTTCAGCTTCCAGAAGCCCCAGCCAGCTTGGCCAACAGCCAAGAATTCTGGGAGATGAAGTGCAAAACATCTGGAGGACCAAAATTTGGAGACCATGGCTCTAATCTCTACCAGCAACTTGGTGAGAGGCTTTTAACAATTCCTCTTATGTCAGCCCCGATTTAAACGGGGATTTTTTGGAGCAGGGGCTTGGTTCTGCTTTGAATGGGATGGGTTGGGATGGCTTTTCTTAAAGAGGAAAACTGGAAGGGAAAGTATAGTTTCCAAAGCAAAGAATAACTTGCTCCGTCTGAGCGGTCCGCACTGCCCACCTTCCGGCGGCCAACAAAATACCAGAGGTTGAATGGCTTTTCCTCCCTGCCGGTCGGTTCTGCAGATGTTATTGTATTTTAAAACCCCAAAGAAGTGAGGTCACTTTCCCTAAATAACCGAAGATGGGGGATCTATAAATAAAGGTTGCTAGACATCGGTCTTTTTGGAACATAATGGTTATTTGGGCCTCGCCAGCGTCTGAGGCACACCCAAGATGGGGAGAATGAAACAACAACAACTCCTTTCCTGTAAAGTCAGTAGCTGTTGACTCTGGGATCCCATATCAGCAGAGGATTCTGGAGTGAAAGGCACTGAGGAATGCCAGGCCTTTTGGGGCTGAGAGTATTCAAGGAGGCCAGTTAAACATTAGCTGTCTCTCTCTCTCTCTCTCTCTGCATCTTTCCATGCCAGGTACTTCCACTCTGCTTTTCTTTCCTAGACCTTCATTCCCATCCCTCTCTCTTTCTCTCCCCCTTTTATCTCACTTTTGGGTTGGGGAGAATCAAGGGGAAGTGCCATGCTTTAGGAATTGCTATGATTTTAAAAAGGGAATTCCAAAGTGGGTTGTAAGGCAAGCCCTTTTCCTGTGAGTCACCCACATGGCTAAGGGCGAAACTACCATGCATTGTTAAGGAGTCTTGCTGTGTTCAACCCAAGGACTGGCTAGTTCAGTATTTTCTTTCTCTATGGGCCTTCCAGTCTTCTGCTGGTGCTATGGATTACATAGGGTTTTCTTAGGGAGCTGTTGCTGTTGTTGTGTGCCTCCGTCCAACTCATTTTTGACTTCTGGTGAGACTAAGGCAACCCAGTCATGGGGTTTTCTTGGCAAGATTTGTTCAGAGGAGGTTTGCCGTTGCCATCCCCTGAGGCTGAGAGAGTGTGACTTGCCCAAGGTCACCCAGTGGGTTTCATGGTCAAGCAGGGACTCAAACCCTAGTCTCCCAAGTCTTAGTCCAACACTCAATCCAATACGCCATTCTGGTTACATCCTCTGAAACATCGCCTACTTTAATACCCCAAAGCTGTGGTTCCCATACTTTGGTTCTCCGGATATTTTGGACTTCAGCTCCCAGAATTCCTGTTGGTCAAGTCAACTAGGGCTTCAGGGAGTTGAAGCCCAAAACACCCAGAGGACCAAAGTTTGGGAACCCCTACGCTAAAGGCACCAGATCCTGTCTGATTTTGGAAGCTAAGCAGGCTCAGCCCTGGTTGGTACTTGCATGGGAGACTAGCAAAGAATACCAGCCACCATAGGCTCTATTTTAGAGGAAGGAACTGGCAAAACCATCTCTGGGTATTCCTTGCCTAAGAAAACCCTACAAAATGTATGGGGTCGCCACAAGTCGGTCTTGAAAGCATACAGTGGCCAAAAGCAGGTGCCTCTCGGAAG